TCTTCACTGAGCAGTCTATGTCACTTTTAAATGTTATTTCGGGTAAAATTCGTATAACTTTACAGAATTTATGAAGAGCACTGAAAACACCCTGTTGCTTGGACAAACGCCCTCTATCCATCCGTGAAAAGACTAAAACCAGAACTGTTTTAAAAATTACTCACATCTTGATCATTCATTATTTCACAGTTGATGTCATGCTGGGTAAATCTACCGATAGCTCAACCTGGGCAGGGTCTGAGCGAGACTACACATATGAAGAGGTAAGTACATATAACGTAGTTCTCCTCGCTTCCAGCCCCTCGTGTACAGTTAGTAAATGTGTTGAATTCTTTATATGAATTCACAAAGATGTTTGATCATTTGGTCTAAATAATTTGGGTTCATTTGAAAATAAATTAAAACTGTTTTAAGGTAGCGTTACTATTATTTGTGTTGAAAATTACGATTTTCACATTTATTTATTAATTGATGAAATGCACTATGAACTTTCATCTGATAAAGTCAACGTAACCTAGAATGTCATGTAAGTTGGTTAAAATGTAGATTTTTTGAAGGGAAGCAAGGCAGCTTCAGTAGTGTTTTCCAAAATCAACAACACAGGTTTAATCTGTGTGCCTATAAGTTTCAAAGATTTGCTACGTTCACACGGCAGCATTTTATCGGAGCCCAAAGACTCGAGCCAGCAAAAATGGCCGTATGAACGCGTTCGGCTCGAGCCAAGTTCGGCTCCACTAAACCCTCGGGGTTGAACTCCGATAGGGTTGAGTCCCGGCATGGCTCCGAGCGTGTAAACGCATCGGGGCCCAACTATCGGAGCCGAAATCACGTCCTCAATAGTCTTCTTCGAGTAACCTCTCATTTCAATTATGGCGGAGACAACATCTTTCATAGTTTCACGCAATTTCCCGCTTGAATAAGAGGTACGCGTCCTAGTGCATAGTAACGAATCATTGCGATAGATTGATAGCTCAATGGGAAACAAAAATGGCGTACGAAATTATGCGACAAAAACTTGAAAGAACGATGAACGGAAACTTTTTAAAGACACTAAAGATAAAAATCGTAGAAGCGATTGCGGTACGGTGACGCTCAGACTAGTAATACAACAGACTCGCAACGCATATTGTTTAAGGTGTTAATCGGCTTAATTGTAAATGCTATGCGTGCCACGCTCTGTAGCATTGGCATAGACACGGTCGAAGTTTACCGAGCACAGGATATTCTGCACACTTCGCGCTCCTTCGGAAATTGCGTATTTCTTCGTAAAACGGATCCGGATATATTTAAAAAAAACGGGAGATGCGTTCTGGACATTTTGACCTTTGCAGCTGTGTAAGAATTTTAAGAATCGACCAAGAATCAGGGGAGTTACAAGTAACTGAATGTCTTAGTGTTTGTGTATTCAAATAGTTTTTGAATATATAATGAGCAACTTTGAAACGATATTTCTCGCTGTTGCGGATTTTGCGGAAGGTTTCCAATATTTTTTTCGGAGAGATCTTATCGCTGCGTTTTGAACGATCATACTTCTTTGTGTGTTACCCGTTTTGTTTTCGTGTTCTGGGATGCCGAAACATAAGATAGCTAGTGCCATGTACATATCTCTCTCAGCGTATCAGCGTGATCCAGTAACGGTAAAAACTGGAGGTGCGTTATTGTTGTCGCGTTCGACTTCATAGTACGCGATCTACGC